ATGTTACTAGGTAGGCCATAAATTATGCAGAAAAAATAGGAACAATGATTGGAAGATAATCATCATATAATGTCAATTATTGGCATTTGATCCAGTCAATTGAATAATTAAATGGAAGTTCATTCCCTCTTGACTTCATCCAAATCCATATCCCTGATTCTGGCCGGTGCTTGTTCGCAGTACTTGGAGAATAACGCGAACTGTTGACGTCTTGTAGCTGATCTTTACATATAATAACATACATTCTCGGACCGGTAGAACCCAATATCTACCAATGCTTGCGATATACAAGAAAAGTAAGGTTGGCAACGGATTAGTTGACAATGCTTTGTCACAGCATATTGTAGTTTCAAATCTTCTCAGCTATTCGAGGACCCAACATGATTAGCAGATTCTTGGAATTGTCCACTCACTTGGTCGTGAAAAATAACTGACTGAATTGAATGAGTAATTTCCTTCGGGACAGATCTTGGCTAAATACATATCAAGTAAAAGGATTCATAGTTTAACAAGGGTGTTAGCATTACCATCGCCAATAAAGAATGTAATTCATTACTAGCATGTATTAGAGATATACCACTCCTACACATTTTTTTTGTTATAACAATGAAGTTATCCAGACAATGAAGTGTTCATATATCTTTCACCTGTAGATGAGAGATATCTTGACAAGGTCTCATTTTTCCACGAGGTACAGAGAAATAGAATTTCACAATCATTATACTACTCCTATCATTAATAAAAATTAGAATCCTTCCTACTAACACATTCAAATCTTCCTATATCAAGTACAAGAATTGATGATATGACAACTATAAATAATACGTTATAGATCATTTTGATCTCACTAATTTTAATTTAATTTTAATTTTAAATAACTACAGGTGATAATAAATTTTACTCGTTCAAAGATGCAATATCTTTGTTACACGTAAGATTAAACATATAAATTATAAAATTTTCATCTGATAATATGACATATATCATTTACATTGAACTAAAATTTGCATATTGAAATCATTTTATTTCCTAATTTTTCATGAAAATATATACTTATACTAGAGAAAAAAAACTAAGCACTTTTATTTTTTTAAATAAAATATTTAATTTTTCAATAATGATATTTATTTTTTGAAATAAAAATAGTAAAAAATGAATATTTATATGAGATAATAATCTCAAACTGAATGTCAATCTACATGAATAAAACATGATAAAACATCAATAAAAAGTTTTATTATTATAAAAGTGTCAATAAATTAGATTAAAATAAATAAAATTTTAATAATTTCATCAAAAATTATTTATTTTCAATGAATTTACTTGCAATATGAATTAAGATTTTATTTCAAATATTCAGCATTTATGCCTTTTGTCATTATTTTATGAATGTGCTTTGCAGAATTATTGATTATTGCCATTTTGATAATTTGATGATGCATTTTGGAAAATGTCTTATCAAACTTGATGAATTAGATGATTAGCATCGTAAAAGAAATTAAAAATATATTTTGAAAATATAAGATCAAATTCTTTATATACAAATGTTTCATGAGAAAAATATTAACTATCCACAGTTATTATTACTTTAACAAGAATGCATTTAGTTTTCTAATAATTTTTATTTAAATTTGAACTAAAATAGATGTTATTCAAGATGAACAACTAAACTAAGTTTAGCTGTGAACTAAACTTAGACTTTATAGCTAAACTTTGTTGATACATTGTAATAATTTATGCGTACATGATAATTCAAAGTTTAGAAAAATTGTTGGTGATTCAATTTTGTCAAACATTTAGTATACAATGTAGATGACATAATCAAAAATCAATTTGGAGCTACACCTTTATACAAGCGTCCATTTTGGCTTAGTTTGAGACTCTTTTCACTTGACTAAGGTGACACATCGAGTTATAATCACATGACTTTACAAAACTAACAATGAAAAATATCAATGATATCTTTGAGTCTATTGCTCAAATCATACATTTTTGCAATTTAATATGTCATAATGTGCAATAAAAACTTTACTTTCTAATTAAATTCTGTAAATTTTATATGAAACAAAATGAATGTAAATAAAATTAGAATGTGATCAATTTGATACATATTTTTGAATATAAATTTTTAACTTTTTAAATAATGATTTTTCTTCTTTGTACCAATATCTAAGTGTGAACCAATAATCTCTATGAGCGTTTATAAGACTTTCAAATTTCTTATTATTTTTTGGTTATTTTTTGAAAAAGGAAAAAAATATCAAAATTGCTTCAAATCATTGTAATGCTAGAAAAGAAGGGAAAGAATAACTTGAATATGAATTTTCTTAATCTTTTGAAAAAAATAAAAAGAAAATGAAAATGCAATATTTTTTTAAAGAAACAAGAAGATTAAATTTCAACTCTTTTTATGCAATAATGACATGATTAATATCACTAACAAGCAGGAAAAATTTAAGATGTTGTTTTCACCTAAAAGTATTAATATTCTATCTATCAAACATATATATATTGTCGAAGTGAAAATCATAAATAATCCATTACAAATCAATCTGAAATCACATTGTTTCATTTTAATTTGAACTAATTGAAAAATGGTTTTGATTGTATAATTAATAATCTTCATGATGTAATTCATATCAAAAAATGTTTTTTGTTTCTTTTAATGTAAAATCATTTTCTAACTGTATACATGTGAACCACTATATTCTTGTGACATAAAAGAATTTTTTTTAAAAGCACAAGATAAATCTTTTTGTTTGATTAGTGTGTTTGATTCAATTTTAGTATAAATTTGAAAAAGGTCAACTTATGGCAACAGTAAATATTTATAAAAAAATTGTTATCCTTATTTTATTTCAAATTCGAATTCCAAAATAAAATTTTTTTGATTGAATCGAAATTTTTCCGAAGATAAAATCACCACATAAGGTTCTATTTTTTTTTGGAGAATTATCATTAATATACTCGAAAAAAAATTATTCTTTTTTATAAATATATGATGTATTGATAAATTCATGAAAGTAGTGATAAAGTATTCACATAAAAGCAATATTTATAGTTTTAAGTTAAAATTTTTGAAAATTCAATAGTTTAAGTTTAAAGTTTTGATAATGTTTAATTGATAATTTAATTCATATTATTATATTTTTGTTCAATTTTTATTTAAAAAAAAATTAAATTGAAATCGAGAAAAAATCTTAAACTAAGTTTGTTTTGATACATCAAATTGAAATTTTTTTTGCTTCATTAGACTTTAAAGCGATATATTTGTTCCTTATAAATGGACAACATCGCAGCAAATAAAATCCTTTGACTAGTGACTGAAAATTGTATTGAGTTTTGACAATTTATTCAGATCACATTCGAATATTATTCAATACATTTTGTTGTACTTTTAAAGTCAAACAATGACTTAAAGTAAAGATGATAATTTGATTTTGTTACATTGCTTCATTCATCTTACAACTATGATTACTTTTCAAAAGATAAAACATTATAAACAATAAGCTTTAAGTTTCATTTTTTCTTTCAATATTTGAACTCAATTGAATCCATTTTCTTAAGATGTATGATGATCGAATTATAGAAAAAATAAATCTGCAAAATTATATTAATGATCAATAACTTGATGATCTAGTTATTTTTTGTTACAAATTTTTGTCCAAAACATTATTTTTTTCAATTTAAAAATTCACTGCATATTAATTAAAATTTTAAATCAATTAATCCTATAAGTTAAAAATTGTGATGAATTCCATACAGGGAATCTACATGTTATTTTATGATACACAAGATATTTCAAATATTGAAATCAAAATTAAAAAAAAAACACAACAATGTTCCTTTCCAAAGGTCCGATTTCCTCTGAATATTGTTTCAATGTTTGTGGGTTATCACAACTTATTAAAACGAACTATCTTTGTTCAATATCAGAACATCATTATGAGACTGACATATGACTGTAATTCTATCTAGTAGTATGTACTGTGTAATTTTATGCAGTGTATGTCTAGGAGGACATTATTTTATCTCGAAAATTAAAATGTTTCGATCTTTGTGAAGTTGCAGTAATGAGAGTAATGTAAGAACTGAACCTTCCTTATTGTAAAGGAAGTGTATCTTTGATTCCCATGGGTTGAACCTGGATAAATTGTAAAGCTAATCCTCTATCTAGAAAACCAAATAGTAGATGTTTCGCAAAAGTGGTACATTTTCTCTCGAAAAGGGCATCCCTTTTTTTGTTATCTACTCGCTTCCGCTACTATCCGACACTCAAATTGCTCTTGCTGATTCTTACAAATTTTTTCTTTCCAACAAGTAATCAATGAAAGATAGCACACAAATTACATATATACATCCTCAACTAAATTAACATCTTCTATATGGTTTGAAACAGGGTCAATTTGTAGATTGAATATTATTCGGGGTTCAAATATAGATACATCTAAACCAGACAAGTTTGGATTGGGACTGGAAAAGCAATATTGTGAGTTCGACTTTCTTACAAAATTTATACTGGTGTTGGACCCGATAAAGTCCCTCTAGGAAATTCAGTTAACAGTCTAGAAATCTCTAACTTGCAAATAATTAATATTTCATTGCAATCCCAACAAAAGTAGAGAAGCGTTTTCAACAACTTGCGCTTTTGTATTTCATAAACGCAAGGGATCATGAAATATGAATATGAAACACTTGTTCCAAACAACGTCTACACCAAAAACCCCACGCGAATATACTCTAGATCTCAAGGAGGCTGCGCGATGCGCTAAGGCTCGAAATCTGCAAGACACGTTTGTGCACCAGATGTTCGAGTTGACAAGACAAAGCACAGATTTCGAAAAAATATAAAGCGATCGCTGCGGCAAACAACAAGAAAAAAGGGCGAAAAAGGGCTGCGCCACTTGTCGTGGAAAATCGAAGGACGGGGCGTGGACGCGGATTTGGCCCAGGGGTTAACGCTGGCGACGAACGCCTTCCGCTTCCGCTTCCGCTGCCACTTGTCTTGGGCCGGAATTGCGCTCGCTGGACGCGCTCTGCGCTTTATGGATCGAGCCCCAAGCCCTACTTTACCTCGCTTCAGTCGACGTCCGGCGGGGCCTGCGTCGCAGCGCTCATGGACGATTCACGAGGCTAGCCGGGCGGCCTCTCGACCGACCCCAGGTGGGTTCCACTGACATGTCAACGTCGGTGCCTTGGCTTCCATCGACGATGGCTTCCTGCGGGCACTTGTCTCTGATGCGAGCTGCGAGAATTGGATTGCCGTTCCAGTTGCTGTCCTCGGAACTTTTGCCGTGCGAAGTGCGGAACACGCGAGGTAAATTCTGCCGGCGATCGTCTGCTCCTTTTACTGCGCATACGCAAGTGGCGGAGGAGTTGACATCTGATGTTCGACGAGTGGAGGTGAATTTTGCGGGACCCAATGCTTGGTGTTCTTCTCTCGCTGACAACCCGCCTTTTTAAAATTTTTTTCCCATTTCCCAACAGACCTTTGAGATTGAGGGTTTAGCATCCGCTTCAGTAGAGTTTTCGTGAGGCAGCTACTCCAAACTGAATTCGAATCGTGGTTTCCAGACTGAAAAGCCTCAACTTACAGTCGCCAAATCATTGGTAAAGTCCGGAGTAGGGCTGCATTCTGGAGTTTGGGCCGAGGTGAAGATTTTGCCAGCAGCTGCAGGGGAAGGCCGGTACTTTGTCGTGCGGGACACTCACGGCGATGAGAGAAGTGATCGAATTCCCGCTGCCCTGTCATATGTCAGGGACACAACGTTGAGTACTTGGTTGGGAGGACCGACGAAAAAGGGTGTCGGAACAGTCGAGCATCTGTTGTCTGCCTTGGAAGGGCTTGGAGTCGATAATTGTCGCATAGAATTAACAGGGGGAAATGAGGTAGGTATACAATGTTTGTACCACAATCTTATTCATTATACATGAATTTGGATTGCTTAGAAGCGCAGATGATGGGTTCGAGACGAGGCTATATCAAAACAGCAAGATTATATTATATTTTCCTTTGGGTTGCAGCAAGTATCAGATAGAACGTTGTAGCTTTTGTGTGTTATATATGGAGATGTATCCTCAAATTTCAGGGTAGATAGGCGATCTGCATTTGGCTGTCTTTGCACCCTCGAGCATTCTCTGTGCTTGACTCAGAGATTGAATTTTGTCAAGGTACCACTATTGGATGGATCGGCGCTGCAATGGGTCGAAGCTATAGAAGATGCAGGCTTGTCGATTGCGCTAGATAAGCAAGGTACTTCACAATCGAGAAAGGTTCTTGTGATAAACGAACCAATCACTGTGTGCCATGGAGATTCTTTCGTTGCAGCTTTTCCAGCTGCATCCAGTCGCTTAACCTATGGCATAGACTTCCCCCAGGTACTATTCTTCAACTTTAAATTTCAGATTATACATGTGGGTTTGATTGCTGGCATAAAAAGTTTGCTCATAAGGGGAACAGAGAAGTTTTTCTGCGAGTACTGTACTACCTCACGTTGTGATTTTTATCATACAATCGTCCGAGTGTAGTTAGCTTGAATATGTCCCTTGAAGCTTTCTCTTTTCTGATCACAACTGGACAAGGTAGAACCTCGTTTTTTCAAGAGATAGTTGGTTAGTATTTGGAAAGTTTACATTCTTTTGCACAAAAGTTGAACAAAAGTTGAGTTTTCCTATTCACTCTTTGAGAAATGATTTTGCCATCAGAGACTCTTTTAGGTCTTTCCGCAGGAATATAGGCTTGAAACTTTTCTCACCTGTTTAAATAAATTATTTTTCGGCAATGCAGGTGCCAGCTATTGGTAGACAGTGGTTCACTTGGTCAGCTGATGACATTGGTGCTTACAAAAGCGAGGTCGCTCCGGCACGTACTTTTGGTATATTTGAGCAGGTTAGGACCTTCTCTTCGTTGCGCGGCATTCGATCATTAAGCTTGGCAAGGCAACAGATATGAAGTTCTCTTCACTTCCAAAAGTTGTCAATTTTAATCGCAAGCCTCTCTGACTAGCTAGTCCATCATAGGTATTCGTTTGATCTACCTATCTCTGCTGCAAGAAAGCCTGCTCGTATGTATATCAACGGTTGAATAGAATAGTAGATGTAATTTTGTCAAGGTGCATAGCTTTGAAGCGATCATGAGGAACAAATAGTTTATTGCTTCTTATCTGGAAATTGTGGACAAGTGAATGCAGCAGTTATCGTGTCAAATATCTGTTTAGGAGAATGTGCGCTGCATTGCAGATCAAACAACTACAAGCTGTTGGACTCATTAAAGGCGGTACATTGGAAAATGCTCTTGTATGCAGGTATTTTCTCTTTGTCCAAACAGTAAAGTTTTACTTGAAGTCTTGTATGGCTTAGTTGGTATTATCGGTCCTTATAATTCTCATGAATTTTGTGAAGTTTCGATGTCACATCATGTTTGCTACTTTCGATGTCATTTCTGAGTTTTTAAATGCAGGTATACACCTCAAGATCTGATCTAAAATTTTGTCGGTTACAGCATGGAAACAGGCTGGGTCAATCCTCCCCTGAGGTTTTCTGACGAACCATGTCGTCATAAACTCCTTGATCTACTCGGGGATCTGGCTTTATGTGCGTACAATGGACATCCAGGTCTACCTGTAGCTCATATCGTAGCTTACAAGGTTAGTTACTCTCCAAACTCATTGTTGGAGTGTTTCTTGTTGTGGACATGTGTTTTCATTTCAGCTCAATCATGCTGGATTGTCTCTCATTGTCAAGTATATTCATGTTTGCAGTCCGTTTTCCTTACTTCTTCCTGTAATTGCGACGTCTACATTTGTCACGTGGCCTCTTCTTCTTTGTATCTTGATGGATCGATGCATGTATGGTGCTGTACTGATCTCCGCTTTATTTTCAATTTGCTGACCTTCCGTTTTCAGCTCACGGAACTTTTGTTTACTATGGCCGACTGTCATGAGTCATAAATTGCCCGGTCTTGAATGAAATTGAGTTCTGGCCATTTCTTTTCCGTCCTCCACTCCTCCCTTTTGTTCAGCGTCGGTCACTAACGACCTCCAGCTACACTGGAGGACTCTAGTATGCTTTGACAGTCACAGTTGTCTGCATAAAAGCGAGATATCATTTTTCCTTCGCTACCTTGGTTGTTTGGAAACATTAACAGTCTATGCTTGAACTGCTGGTACGATTGTTTAGATAATTTATTTAAGCCCTGATGAACTAATATAGAGCTATTTTTGAAGTTGTTGATCTATTTGAGTTATGTTTTCCTATCTTTTGAGATACTGAATTGCTGTTGGATGTCCAGGCTAGTCATGCTCTGCATATCAAATTCGGAGAGGCCTTACAGCAGAGAGGAACCTGACCGTTTCTAGGGAAAAGTTCTGTGGCATATCTCTTCACATCAGCTCTTGGATATTGGTCCATTGAAGTGGTCTGCAACGCATGGGAAGTTGTTATTGAGGCAGACGGCGACATGGGATTTTTTTGATATGGATATGAGTAACTCGAAAAAAAGTTATACCTAGGACAGATCAGCAATATAAATGATGATTTAACTTTCATTTATCAGAGTGGTAAAGGGCTGGGGGTTTGCAGCAGTATCACTTGAAGGAGCGCGGAGTTGGACGCCTTTCATATTTATTCGCCTGGGCAGCCCTTGTACATGAAGATTTAGCTATGAGAGGAACTGTCTGTTGCACCATGGTCACAAGATTCGACCATAGTGTCTGTATGTTAAAGGAACTGGTACTAAGTGTATATCCACTTATTTGTAATATTATCTCAAAGCGGTATCCTGTGTCCTGGGTCACATAAAAGTAGTTCTTTCCAGATTTTAGTCCTGTCCACCTCTGTTTGAGAACTCAAATTTTGTGAATGACGTTCTCGGAGCTCGACTTAATGATTTTGTTCAGACGCTCGGAATTTCTTCAGAATTTGTTTGGAAGTTCAGGATTAGACACAGATGCTCTGAAAAAACCAATGGATCCTTAAGTCGGTTGCCCCAGCTAGGAAAAGCCCTATCTCCCGAGACTGGTCGTTTTATACGGAATTGCTCACTTTCCACAATTTCTTTGAATAGCAATTGTATGCAATTGCTATATGATCACGAATCATAATGCATTTGTATGATTTAGAGGAAAGCCTGGAAAGCCTACTTCTTGTTAGTTCTGCGCATTTCTTAACTTTACTGATGCACTGAAGACTTGCCAAAAGGATTGGAACCACTATGAAAAGCTTAGAGCCTGGGCTCCTTGAAATTCAAAGAGCCGAACCTATCCAGTGCTGAAAGATCAAACAGTGAGTAATGTTTGCCGTAATATTGTGCTGGTTACTTCAAATCCAGTGCCTTGTGAGCATGTCCACGATGTTGCAACCTTCGAGCCTCGTACAGGGTGGACGAAAAGTTTCTAGTCCATTCAGTATTTCACGAACAGTAATAGCGGTCGAAACGAATTCTCACCAGTCTAGGACATGCAAAGATGTATGGGTCTATGCGCCATGTTTCGCGTTTCATTCACAATTTTCTCAGCCCTGTCTACTCAAGTCCCATCTACTGAGTTTTACGTAGCTACGAAGGGTAACCATGTGATTAACTCCTGGACTTTCACAACTTTTAGCCTCGTGACTCCGAGAAAGCACAAAGCCTGCTGGTCCCCTCTGCCTGCTGCAAAGCGTGGAGACAACCTCTTGCAATCCAGTAGTAAGCCCATGTGCACGGTTTCTGTCAACAGTGTAAAGTGCTATAAATGCACACGGACGACAGTCGAGCAACTGCTGTCCTCGAGAGATTCGAGACTGCCGAGTGATGAATCACACTACAAAAGTGCGTTGGCCGAGCCTGAGCTGCAAGCACTTCTGGTTCGAGCATCATGAGTGCTTGAACCGGGGTTTCCAACAGAAAAGCCTCTGACGATAACTCAATGCCCCTTCTCGTCAAGCCGGGGCCCAGGCATCACATGAAGCTGAAGTGAACAGTTGAAGCTCTAATGTGTTCGCGATTGTTCAGTCGCCGGCGGTTTTCCAGGCATCAACAATCCTTTTGGTCCATGCGGAGAGTCACTGAAGCAAACGGCCGACTGCTGTGACAGGTCACAAGCCATTCGTTCTGGCATCGGTCTGGCAATTACGCAGAAGCTTGACCGTCTGGCTGTTGTCTGGAATTCCTTCAGCATGCCCAGAATCCAGAGTCCAGACCATGGCAGTCTCCAGTAAACATTATGAGTACTTACAAGCGAAGCCATGGTAAAGTCGACACTTGCAAGGACAGGGTACCGTGTGATGATTACAGGGTAGCTCTGACTTGACTTATGACTTGGAAAAGGAGGTTGACATGTCCGAAAAATGTATCCCGAGGCGAGTCAAAGTGTCACACCGACCTTCTAAAACCAGAGAGTGAACGCCCACTCGTCTGTCTGTCCGAGAACTTCAGATTCTTCCAACTCGTAACGCTCCATGCGTGTGCAGTCCGTCACGCATTGCCGGCACGATGCTTGATTTTGGTGATGCATGCACTGGCTGCTATGGGATCACCAAGTTCAAAGGGTGGTTGAGAAACGTACTGCAGATGCCGAGGAATATAGAACTGCAGATGCCTATGTAGGTGGGCGTAAAAAGTCATGATTGCTAAGCATCAAGCATCGGGTTCAAGGTGCAAGGTGCCAGATTTCTGGCAGTCCTGAATGCTTGCAGGTTCGTGGAGCTTATAGGGTGAGTGATTTCATGGATTAGTGAGTTATGCCACAGGTGCAAGCACATGGAGCTCTGGAATCATGAAGCTCCACGGGGGCAAGTTGAATATAGAAGCCTCTCAAGTTGAATATAGAAGCCACTCCGTCGTTGCTTAAGCTCTTGAGGACTGCGGACTGATGAAGATTCCGGAATCCTTGAAGCTGAGTGGATAGCCACTTTAGTGCTTCAAGCATCGAGTCCAGATTCTTGCATCTTATCAGGTGCATGAAGGTTAAGTAGCTTCTCGGGTGTTGTAACCGGTGCTAGCACATTAGGCTCCAGATTATGAAAGTCCTCGGGTGCTTGAAATAAGCAAGCCTCTCCGTAGTGCTGTAAGAATCAGCGCTTGGGGCCTTCACACTCAGGAAGCTCCTGGGGGTGCTTCAACCCTTCAGCATCGGTGCCATGAGGTTGCCTGTTCGAACGATGCAACCACTAGGTCCTGCCGCATGTTTGAGCAGTTCTCCAAAGCGTTAGCTTATTGCTCCAGGAAAACTTGAATTCGAGTTTCCTCGATGCTCGAAATGGCCTCCTGATATCTAGGACCTGGTTCGACGTGATGCAAAGCCTGAGACCGTAGGAATAAACAATGGGCCATAAGAGGCCATTGTTTCAGGCCAGAGAATTTCGTCCTAAGAAGCTGAATGTAAATGAGCGAATCACGCGAATAAGGTTCAGATTTCTTACGCTTTTGAACAGATGCTCACCGTGAGGAAGGAGAACAAAGCGGAGCACTGTATAAAATTTGTCCAGGCGTCCGACAATCATTTCCAGCATGCACCAGATGCATAATTCCCAAGATCCTGGGGCTTGAAGTGACCGAGACAGACATGCGCCTCATGGGGTCGGGGCTACGGCCTCAGACCTCCACTATCCAACACCACACTGCTCTCCGCAGATTTCGTGGGCGGCCCTTGTGCTTGATTGATCCCACGACACTGCAGGAAGACAAATGTCAAAGATTTCCAGTGGTGTCGAGTCTCAATATTGTTAATACGTCAGTACAGAGTACTTCTTTGAAACTCTGAACATTCCACGAGATTAAGGAATGTCCTACAGGCAATTATACTACCCATGAAAGCAGAACTTAAAGTGAGGGGCTAGTAACATAGCGAGTGATATATTAACAAGGATGGGAAGACCCCGTAAGTCATGAAACGAACGAGTTAGGATGGGGCTAGGTCCATGTAGCATCACAATGAGAGGTATGACATACTCCACATTCGATATCCCAACGCAAATTGAAATTCAGAAGTAATATTCACCAAAGAGATATTATTGAAGCAAAACATTGAACAAATCCGCAGACCTGTCATAGACCACAGGACCTGTTTTGCATCTTGTATCAATATGTGTTCATCAATGTGGCACAATCACAGCACATTAGGAGTTATGCATCCCAAAATACCTCACTACGAAGAGCATAGAAGAGTGGTAGTAAGGAAAGGCTGAAATACAAAAAGTGCAAGGTGCAGTGGAAAGAATAGTTTGTCTCAGGACTTACAAAATCTCGGCCTGATTATGGTAGGAGGATTGAGTATATATTCATCACTGATAACCACATCTCTTCGAATATATCATTGGGCGGTGCTGGTGCCTTATTTGTCATAAATTATTTGTGAGTGATGCCATAAGTAAGATTGGAAGTCCTTGTCCGCTGTTGATGAAATGTAGTCAAAAAAGTGCGAAATGCCATTTAATGTCTTTCACAAACTTGAGTATGGGCTCAAAATCCTCACGCAGTAACCATCGTCTGGTTTATACTGGTTCATGCAGTAACCTTTTTTTTGGATACTATTGCTTTTTTTAATATCATCCTTGCTCATTTTGTTGGGTCTGGTGATCAGCTGTATTTGGATATCAATGTAAACATAGTCCACAAAATTCTACTACCTTTCATTTAATCCGAACCTGAAGATATTTCCATTGAACTGATGAGAGAGAAGATTTACTCTACAAAAGAGTGGATCAAATGCCGAAATCCGCAGAATTCCATAAAACATAGATTTTCTAAATTGTGTACGTCCCAGAGTCTTTGCTAGTGTATATCCTCGGATATAGTGAATTGTAGAGGGTGAATTCTCCGTGATTAGTGCGAGAAAGATGAGTACATATTGTACTTAATGGATTTGTCACCTGAGTATATCATGCACGGTAAGCAATTCAAGTGAATTCAAGCAAATTAAAATTGTGGTCATATTTTTCATAAATAAAGCAATTCAAGTGAATTCAAGCAAATTAAAATTGTGGTCATATTTTTCATAAAGAAAAATTGGATATCGCCAAAATAGACTAATTTATGGCCAATTTGATAAATAAGAAATTAGCAGACGGATGCCGATTGCATACACAAATATTTGCATGAAATTTTTGTAAACGATTATTGGATTAAGTTATGTAGGAACTAATAACTAAACTCAACAGTTTATTAGTGAGAGTTGGCTAGGTTAAGTAGCCGAGGAGTTATGGTTGATATGTTACATCTAACTTCAATATAACTGTCTAGAATGTAAGAGAAGAATACAAAGAAGATCCAACATATTATCCTATTCTTCTTGGTACACTCGGTAACCTACAAACTAACAACACCTCAAGTTTTTTGGACTATTGCAACAATGGTAGCAAATTAGATCATAACAACATGTACATCATCGAACATCAAATTTGGACTGGAATTAAAGATGATGTGTTGCAATATAGTGACGAGTATGTGGTAGTAGCCTGCTGGAATTATGTGGCTCTTAGTGATAGAATTGTAACTCAACATAATTGAACTCCAATTATGTTGAGCAAAGATACTGCCTATAAAGGTACTGCAAACTTCAATGAAAATTCTACGCTTTTCAAGTTAGTGTCTCAGTAACTACTTTGTGAACAAATTTGTTGTATTCTTGTGGTCAAAATTCCCTCTAGCACCCTTTCTTGATGGATTGATGTTTGACTTCAATGTGCTTGGTCTTCTTACGGTAAACCTCAGACTGAGCAAACCAACAAGACAATAAACACAGAAGACACACAAATAATGTGGTTCACCCTCAGGGGCTACGTTCACTGAGGAATACACCCAAGAGAGTTT